ATGCACTGTGTCGGATTTAAAGCAAGCTCGTGATATTTGCGATGGATGAATTTCAGTGGGAACAGCTGAAAAAGAGTTTAACTGACGCTTGTTTGCGATTGGCTTGAGGCCTAGAGAGATGCAGGCCGAAGAATTACAGACTTGTGGGTTAACTAGCAAACATTTTCAGATTTTTGCACAAAACTTCAAATGACCCTAATGATTGGGGTCCAGGAAGTTACGGTTGAAGAGCATTTCGCTCGTTTCAAAGAAATCGGATTGCACTTCCCAAATCTGCCAGAAATAAAGGTTGGCCCATTTGGATCAATTTGCTTGTTGCTTCTTAAACCGATTCGTCTTCTATTCAATTATAAGCGTAGCAGTACAGATGAACCTCACCCATTTAGCATTGGTTGCTGTCTGTAAAAATGACTTACCCGAAAATAACCAGTTTGAACAAAACGAAGAAAAAAAAAAACAAGTTGCATTAGAGAACCACTAAAATCTTTTGTGTTATCTTTTTGGAATGACAGAGTAAGCATGGGACGGATACCAGGAACACCTGGCCACGGTAGATGGAGCAGCTTTGGCCAACATAACCATGAATAATTGGCTAGCGCATCGACTGCCGACACGAAGATGTGCCTTTTGCATAGCTCCCCGCATGCTTTTATCATTAACGGCACTGTTTTTTCCAGCAGATGCTTCTAGCTAAAAGAATTGAGACTGGCCACTACGACCGTAAGAAAACATTCTTTCAAAAATTTCAACTTTCTAACTTTTCTGGTTCCCGAGTTAGCAGCTTGCCCGTAAAAAATTGCACAGTTCCATCAATGACATGAACTGGCACTTCAGCAAAATTATGACTGTTCAAGGGAAAAAAATTTTGTTCTTGTTCTTACTACTAAGTGTGATTTGTATCGTCGTTAAAAGAAATAACATTTCAGGTAATTTTCACAACGAATGTTGCGGAGACGTCGATCACAATTCCGGGTGTCCGGTACATCGTTGACTGTGGTTTGGCTAAAGTAAGTTATTTTATACTTTCGACTTTTCCAATTTTTTTAAAGAATTTTCATAGATTCTCTGTCATTTGTATTTTTCGAGTTTCTCCTTTGTCCGGTAGAGAGCGAAATATCTCCTAGAAATGGCATTTTTATAGTATTACATGATCTTTTTTTTTTTCTGAAAAATGCTTTGTTATGTTACATTTATTGATGAAATAAGGCATTTATATGTTCTATGCGTTTGACTGAAGAAAAAAAACCCAACACAGTGAAAGATTGGGTAATTTTCACTGCTACCTTACTTTGAAATATCTTTTTTTTTTTTAATTTCGTGTGCTTTTTTTACTGGGTGTCTTTGTTCGTTTTGCAAAGAAAAGCTGGGTTTTTTTTTTCAGGTGGAAAAATTTGATGCTGTTCGACGAATCAGTGTAGTGGATTTGGATTTGATCTCCAAGGTTTCAGCCGAGCAGCGAGCTGGAAGAGCTGGAAGGACAGCACCAGGTCTGCTCTACATTATGAGTTAGAATTTAAGAATAATATGAAGGCCTTTGCATATGTCTGATTTTTAGTTTTCTACCATTTTGGGGTCGATTTGGCGGAAAAA